ACCCCCCCGGGATGGCCACACCACAATCCCTTCTCCTCCATTCTCCTCTTGGGATCTTGGGCATGCACACACATGCGCCTGGCATGAGTTTAAGCCATTGGTTCTGGCACTTGAACCACGTTTGTCTACATGGGAGTCCAGAGACATAGCTATTACACTATCTGCTGGTCCCAATTTTATTATTTTTTTAATTTGACCAGAAAGAGCCACAGAAACCAAGCCACCACATCTGGGACTTGGACCACTATCTACCATGTGAGAGTTCAGCACTTTACTACACCACTTGTTGGCTGCCAGATAGGATTTTTTTCCCCATATGGTACATGTGCTTCCCAGAGAGACACAGAGATAGAAAGTGAGACATTGCCACCCCCAGGGGATGGCAGTGCAGTCCTTCTCCATTTTTCTCTTAGGATTTTGGGCACACATGCACATGTGCCGTCGTGAGTTTTAAGCCACCGGGTCTAGGACTCGAATTGTGGCTGACTACGTGGGAGTCCAGCAACGTAACCATTATGCCTTCTGCTAGTTCTCAGATTAAATTTTAAAAGTATGATGTTATGGGACCAGGTGGTAGTACCGCTGTAGCATAGATAGACCCACGTGGAAAGGGTTTTATATTTATGTGGAAAATTCCAGATCTATCTCCATGTGACAAGTTACAGTCAAAGCACTACAGGAGAGAGCCAGACAGTGGTGTAGTGGCAAAATGTGACACTCTGCAAAGCTGACCTACATGAGAAGGTTCCTGGTTTGCATCAGAGACCTCCCTGAGTACACCAGGCATTTGCTTGCCTGTGATTCATGGCTGGCTGAGGTTGGGCATGGATGTGGTGTCAAGACCCCATTGAGGGTGCTGTCTCTTTTTTCCTTTCTCTCACTCATGGAAGAAATAAACTTTAAGAGGTAGTTTATTTAGGCTCTCTGCTCCTCCCCATTCGACACAGTCACATTTTCTTGTGCAGTGCCAGCTGCGTCTTAGAGATACGATGGTGAAGGTTGGAGTAAATGGATTTGGCCGTGTTGAGCACCTGGTCACCAGGACCACCTTTAACTCTGGCAAAGTGGATGTTGTTGCCATCAATGACCCCTTCATTGACTTGAACTATATAGTCTACATGTTTCAATATGATTTCACCCATAGCAAGTTCAACAGCACCGTCAAAGCTGAGAACAGGAAGCTTGTCATCAATGGGAAGTTCATTACCATCTTTCAGGAGCAAGATCACACCAACATCAAATGGAGTGATGCTGGTACTGAGTACATTGTGGAGTCCACCAGTGTCTTCACCACCTTAGAGAAGGCTGAGGCTCATTTGAAGGGCAGGGCCAAAAGGGTCATCATCTCTACCCCTTTTGCTAATGCCCCCATGTTTGTGATAGTCTTGAACCGCAAGAATTACAACTCCCTGAAGATCATCTGCGATGCCTCATGCACCAACTGCTTGGTCACCCTGGCTGAGGTCATCCACGAAAACTTTGACATTGTGGAGGGACTCATGACCACAGTCCATGACATCACTGCCATCCAGAAGACTCTGGACGGCCCCTCAGGAAAGCTGTGGCATGATGGCCATGGGGCGGGCTAGAACATCATCCCAGTATTGACTGGTGCTTCCAAGGCTGTGGGCAAGCTCATCCCGGGGCTGAACGGAAAGCTCACAGACATGACCTTCTGTGTCCCCACTCCCAATGTGTCAGTTGTGGACCTGACTTGCTGCCTGGAGAAAGCTGCCAAATACGATGACATCAAGAAGGTGGTGGAGCAGGTTTCACAGGGCCCCCTGAAGGGCATCCTGGGCTACACTGAGGACTAGGTTGTCTCCTGTGACTTCAGCAGTGACACCCACTCCTCCATCTTCAATGCTGGGGCTCGCATCACCCTCAGTGGCCACTTTGTCAAGCTCATTTCCTGGTATGACAATGAATTTGGCTGTAGTAATGGGGTGGTGAACCTCATCATCCACATGGCTTCCAAGGTGTAGAACCTTGGACCACCAGCCCCAGCATGAGCATAAGGAAGAGAGAG